GGTGCCTGTCCCCTCCACCCCAGCTCCCGGAGAGGAGGGGCATGGGCGCCTGCACCGCCTCCTGCTGACCCAGGCGGCTCGAGGGAGGCCTTGCTGAGCGCATTTCCCCGCGCCTCCCGCGCTCAGTGCCAGTGGCTCCTCCCCGTGCCCACGCCCCGGCCCGGCCCGTGGGCGCGCTCACAGGTCCTCACAGGCCAGGAGCCTGAAGCTCAGAGGCTTCGCGACCTACCCAAGGTCATAGCCTCACGGAATGGGGTGCGGGGGGCGGGCGGGGGCGGCGCGGTAGAAGCAGGTGTCTGACTTCAAAGGGGCTGTCTATTCATTAGCCTGCTGGGCGGAATGGAGCCTGGACAACAGGAACCCGTTCCTCACGGGCGTGGTCAGGACACCCAGGGCTGGTGTGTGGGGAGACCTCACCACCTGGCTGCAGACCCCCGCCTCCTCCCTGTGCGACATGGCCTTCCTTCTGTGTGCTCAGAGAGGGGGAGAGAGAGAGAGAGAGAGAGAGAGAGAAGGAGAGAGAGATAGGGATAGGGATATATATACATATACATATATATATGTGTATATATATATATAGAGAGAGAGAGAGAGATACATATATATGTATACACACACACACACATATATATATAGAGAGAGAGAGAGAGAGAGAGAGAGAGAGGGAGAGATAGGGATAGGGATATATATATAGACAGAGAGGAAGACAGAGAGATCTGGTATCTCTTCCTCTTCTTATGAGGACCTGATCCTACTGAGTTAGGGCCCCCCTTTTGACCTCATTTAACTTGAATTACCTCTTTAAGGGCCCTGTGTCCAAATACAGTTACGTTAGGGGTTAAGGCTCCAACATATCGATATGGGGGTGATGCAGTTCAGTCCATAAAAGGCTTTAATATTTAATCTCAATTATTAAAAAAATTCAAGCACGCCCAATAACTACTTCATGGAAAGAGTTTTTTAAGCAATTAGCAGTGGGCCCCCTCGGCCAGTGAACTTTCTAGTTTAACCCCTTCCCCGGCAGAAACGTGTATACTCATTTTCACAAAATGTTCTTTTTCAGTCGTCGACGAGTATACTAAAAAAATATGGTAAAAAAATATGGTTTGTAGGAAGACGAGTTACAAACTGTTTTCATAACCAGCATCAAAAATACTATATAGAACCAAAATAAAAAAATTAGTCTGAAAAAGAAACGTTTTTAACAAAAAAATTGTTGGGGAAGGGGTTAGTTAAGATGGGATTTGAGTTGGAGAAAACTGATTTGCACACTTCGCCAGGCTCCAGCGGCTCCCTTCGCTGGCTGTGCGCCCTTAGCCATGCCTCTCCACTCTCTGGCCCTCAGTCCACCACTGTCGAACACACGGGCTCTCTGGTTTTTAGTCACTTTAGTGAGAGCTCATTTTCCATCCAAATGAGAACTACGGATGGCTTCATACCTGCGTGCCTGGGACGCTGCAGTGGACAAGGCCGGATGGAAATATTTTGAAATTCAGAGTGCCTCTCTGCTGGGTGGGCACAGTCCCCGACCCATGAAGCGTAGACTCTTGCTGAGCTTGATGGAAAATCCTCATTCCTACCCTCAGTCAGAACTCACCGCCCAACCTATTCTCCAGGCCTTTGAGATGCTGCTCCCTCCGCTGGGTTCAAATAAACTCTCACAAAGATTAAAAAAATCAAACAGAAAACATGCCTTAACAAATGGCCAGGCCCTGCGGGGCGGGGGGCGGTGGGGCAGGTAGGAGGCGCAGGCCCAGCTAAGGAGGCTCCTGCGTGGCCCCTCCAGGCACAGAGCCATCACCGGGCCGCTCTCCCACCACAGGAAGAGAAAGAATGGCGGTGGGGCAGGTAGGAGGCGCAGGCCCAGCTTCAGACGGGCTCAGGCCTGCGCACCGGAGGCAGCCGGAGGCCTCTGAGGAGCAGCCTCCAGGAAGCTCTTGGTTCCCTCAGGGGACTCTGTCTGGGCTGCTCTGTGTGCAGCGCGCGGCATGGCCCACGGAAGCAATGAAGGCGACGGAGCGTCTGGTTCTGCAGCTCAGCCTCTGCTTCTTGAATCTCAGCAAGGACTTAACTTGGTTTGCAGCTGAGTGCTGCTGCTGGTTCTCATTCGCTCCTTTCACGGCCAGCTCTTCTGCCGGCTGCCTTCCCTGCCGCTGGAGCCTTCGAAGGTGCTCTCTCTCCTTCCTGCGAAGGTGCTCTCTCCTTCCTGCGGCTTCTCCGGCTTCCGGCAGAGCTTGGTCCGCAGGGAGTGAACAGCAGTCCCGTGCCAGCTTGGCCCGCATGGCTCAGTCTGATGCAAGTGGTCTCTCTCTCATCTCTGGTTCCGATCGGTTTTGCTGTGAAAGCCTGTCTGCCGTGGACGGTTACCCTGCTTGCTTTGGTGACTCGCCAGCTGTTCTGGCTGCCACCGCTAGATCCCCACTGGAGCTCCATCTGCTGCAGAAAGCTTTTCCTAAGACTCGGAGACTGTCAGCTCGCCAATTCACTGAGTGGTGTGTCGCTCACGCTGGCCCTCCCCACCTGTCGCAACTGCTCCTTGCTGCTCTGGTCATTCCAGCGATTATTCCTATGAAGTCGCTGAGGCACCCCGTTTAAAGAGTCAGCCCCGCTTCCTCTTCCCCGAGGTGACCACAGGCAACCCTCCCGGGGTTCTCTGATCTTTCCTTTTAGGGAGCGATCATACTACAGCGCTCCTTGAGTTTCTGGTTTCAGAAACTCATCATCTCTTACTGACTTTCCACATGCAAACAGGTCGTAGCTCCTCTCCCAGAGCCCCATCCCTTGCACTCACATAGACACTATCCACCACTCCATCCTCCAGGCCTTGCTAAACCCTCCGCACAGTTTACTTGTGTTACCTGCTAGTAAGTATATGCTGCTCTCAGTGAGCCACGCAGTGCACTCTAAGAACTTGCTCTTTCCTTTGCTAGGCTCCACAATTGTCCTTTCCCCTCATCTGCTTCGTTTTCTATGTATTTATCACAACGTTCACCCCAACTTTCTCCCAGATATGTTTATCACCTTTCAAAATGTTGGATTCATGGGGAGTTCGGTCAGCTTCATCCTGGGGATGGAAGCTCTCCCGGAGGGGCCGAGCCGCAGTGTCGCCTGGTCCCATCTGTCTCTGAGCACCCTGTCCTCCCGGGTGTCCTTCCTAGCCACCGAACCTCCCTTTCTGCTCCCCTTCCACGTAGCCCATCTTCCTGGCCCCGAGGGCTTTCTTCCTCCTGGTTTTGACTAGCAAGTCCTAGACCTGCCTCCCGAGGAAAGGTACCGAGCAGGCAAATGTTTGCACCAACTTGCACGTCTAAAAGCGTGTTCGTTCTCCTCGGACGTCACTGGGCATAAGATTCCATTCTGGGCATCCTTTTCCCTGAGAATTTGGAAACATTTGCTCCACGTCGTCATCTGGCACTGCTGTTGAGAAACCTAGCGCCATCCTGACTCTTGAGCCTTTGTATAAAACTTGTTCTTTGCTCTCTGAAAACTGTTATGGTCTTCTCTTTGTCCAAGTATTTTGAAACTTCCTGACCATGTGTGTGGGTGTGGATCTAATTTTCATCCTCTCTACCGGTCATTGAAGTCTGTCACCTACTTGTTTTTGCCAGAAGGCTTATGGGAATAATACTGCCTCTTCAAAAATGTTTGTTACCTTTATACTGGAATGACAATTTGGGTAAAAAACTATTAGATTTCTTTTTTCTATTGTGGTAAAAACACATAATACCAAATTTAATATCTTAACCATTTTAAGCATCAGGTTCAGTAGTGTTAAGTACATTCACATTGTGCAACAGATCTAAGAACTTCTTCATCTTGCAAAACTGAACCACAATACCCATTGCACCTACTGTCCCCCCTCAGCCTTACCGGTTTTCTGTTTCCATGATGGTGACTCCTGTAGAAGCTCCAAACGAGTGGAATCATACAGTATTTTTCCTTTTGTGATTGGCTTATTTTGCTTGGCATAATGTCCTTGAGACCCACCCACACTGCAGCGTCTGACAGGAACGCCTTTCTAAGGCTGCGTGATGTCGCACTATGTGTACATGCCATGTGGCTTATCTGTGCAACTGCCAAGGAACATTTGGTTGCTCCCACTTATTGACTATTGTGAACGATAAGACCACAGTGAACATGGGTGACAACTATTAATTGAGATCCTGTTTTGAAATCTTTTGGATACATTCCTAAAAGTGGAATTGCTGGATCACGAGGTAGCTCTATTTTGATTATTTAAGGAGCCCTCCATACTGTGTTCCCCAGTAACGGCACCGATGTCGTTCCCACCAACAGAGCACCACGGTCCCACTTTCTCCACATCCTTACCGATGTGCGTTGTTTTCTGGGCTGTTGACAGCAGCCATTCTAACCGGTGGATTGCTCTTTTCTTGAGATCTTTGAAGCAGTTACTTGGCCCTCATATAGGATCTGAATTTGTCCTAAATTTTCTCCTTATACATGAATTGATCTTCTCTTCTGCCTACCCTCCCCCCAAAATTATTTCTTTATTTCTAAAGTCAAATAACCGTTATTAGTATATGTCTCAGTTTATTTTTCTTTGTCATTATTTCCTGGTAGCTGGTTTGTTTTCAATCTGTAGATTCAAGGCTTTAATTTCTGGAAAGTTTTCTTAAATTATATCCTTAAATAATATTTCTCTTTCTTTTTCTAGTTTTCTTCTTTAGGCATTCCAATTACCTGTATTTTTGCTGTCTCCCATATCTATTCTTTTCTTCCTGATCCTAATCTTTTAAAATTTCTATGTCATTTGCTCACTTTTCTTGTTCCTGTAGTTAACCTAAAAATAGAAGGCCAAAGTGAGACAAAACAAGCCTTTATTGAGATCAATAAGAATAGCTGTTCAGGAAGCACTGATTCGGGCAGAAGCCAGACAGTGTTCTGACCAGGAGCCCAGGCCCGCGTGCGGACTGCTGACAGGGCCTGTCCGTGCCTGGCAGGAGGCGTTCCCAGGCGCAGACGCTCACGGAGCGACGCCGGTTCTAGACGCCGCCGTTTCACGCTCAGTCCGGGCCTCCTGTCTGCTCCCTGGTGTCCCGCACACAGTTCTTCGGCTGCCAGCTGCTGGGCCGCCCGCAGGCACGCTGCCTGCTTCCCCCCCAGAGGCCTGGGCAGTGAGGTGGGGGAGGCCGCTCCTCCAGGATGGCCGCTCCTCCACTGTCAAGTGGCTCCTTATGCTATTGTTTGCACGATCTTCTGTGACGTTACCGCTTCCGCAGTGCTAGTCTGTCCCCTGGTGTGTTCCCAACCTTGCCGTCATTTCTGACCTGTGTTTATTCTTTTCCTCCATTTCTGTCTTGAGCTCTGCCAGCTGAAGCTTTATCCTGTAAGCTGTCTCACCACCTCAGTTTTTGCTTCTGGTCTGCACCTCAGTAAGGGTTTGGAAATCAAAATGAGATACTTGGTCACAACTCCCCACTGCTCTGCGGCAGTTCTGTTCGCTTGTTTGTTTTCCCTGGTGTGACTCACCGGCTCCATCCCTCCTGTGGATGTCAGCGTCCTTGCCAGCAGACCTCTGCTGTCCCTTTGCATTACTCTTCCTTGAATGGGTGAGCTTTTGTGGCTCACAGGGAGGTGTGTGTGGGCCCAGGCCGTGCTGCAGGCCAGCAGAAACCTAGTGAGGTTTTTGTCTTCACTTCTCCCAGCCAATGGGCTTGGTGCTTCCCGGCTGCTCCCAGGGCGAAGCCTGCATCCTGCAAATCCGCTTGTCCTTCTCTCAGAACCCAGCTGGCCAGGGACACTTCTGCAGCACTTCCGCCACTGTGCTGGCCTGAGTGACCAGGAGGAGAGGGCGGGAGACGGGGAGGAGCAGGCGGGTGCAGGGGAGACAGCCCCAGCCGCCTGGGAGTGCTCAGTGGAGGGGACACACCAGGCAGGGAAGTCTGGAGCAGAAGGGGAGGTGAAGCAGGGTCCAGCCCAGTGTTCTCCCTCCTCCTAGGGTGACCATGTGTGGCTGAACCCCACCTCTGCCAGCAAAACCAACATTGCCATCGGGGGTGTCATCAAAGAAACAAAGCCCGGCCGGACCCTGGTTGAAGATGACGAGGGCAAGGTCAGTGTGCCTGCTCTTCCTCTCAGGGCTGCCCGGCTCTGAGCCCCTCTCCTGGGTGCAGCTCCCACGGAAGTTCCAGAGTCCAAGTGAGGCCTGGGTGGCGGGGAGCCCGCGGGGAGCCCGCCGCCCACGGGACGGGCTGGCTGGCTGGGGGACGGTCCCATAATGGAAAAGTGGGAGGTGGTCGGCAGGTGGAAAACCGGGACAATTAGGGAGCAGGAAGGCGTGGGCCGGGCTGTGGTGGAGAGTGGGGGCAGGGGCGCTGAGCTGGGAAGATGGGAGCTGACTCCGCAGCCTCCATGGGCGGGTGGCAGGAGCGTGGCTTCCCAGCAGATCCCTGTGGCCCCTCCTAGGGAAGCGGGTCGCGTGTTAGCAGTCGCCTCTCTGTTTGCAAGATGACGTTATGGAGTGAACAGCACTTTCACTCACAGTTATTCCAGCAATCTGTGAGGCTCCCCGCTGCCGCCTGCCCTCACCCAATCACAGCTGCTCTGACCCTGGTCTGAAACTCGCCCCTAGCCCCAGCTGCACGCTGACCCTGCCCCAGGCCCGCGGGCCCCAGCCAGGCTGACCTGGTGCGGTCCCAGGGGTTTCTTGGCCTGGACGACAGGCTGACCTGCGGGAGCTGGTGGCGAGGCGGCTGGCTGGCTGAGAAAGTGGACAGGTAGTGGCCACGCGGAGGGTGCCTCAGGGTGGTCTGCCCTTCCTTCCAGGAACACTGGGTCCAGGCAGAGAACCTCGGCACCCTCAGTCCCATGCACCCCAACTCGGCCGAGGGTGTGGACGACATGATCCACCTGGGGGACCTGAATGAGGCGGGCATGGTGCACAACCTCCTGATCCGCTACCAGCAGCACAAGATCTACGTGAGTCCCCGTGCCGCGCGGGCTCCCCACGGGGCTCCATCCCCACATGCTGGCTTCCGGGCGGAGAGAAGCACAGCCGGGTCCATCCCCACGGCCCAGGTCCTCACCGTGCGGCGGGGGCAGGCACATGACCTTTCCCCACCTCTGCTCCCTGAGTGCAAGATGGTGATGATGTTTCCGAGGGCACAGACAGCACAGCGCTGGGCACTGCAGGAGCTCAGTGGGTGTAGCAGAAGGTCTGCTCATGGCCCAGTGAGCCGAGGTCACGGCTGGCACAGTCACCTGCGAGGCCCCTCCTCGGCTGTGCAGACAGTCCATGCGGCCAGCCTGGCTTCTGTCCAGGGAGCTTGTCACACCAGGAGGGGTGCACTGATGCGGGCCCTTTTCCCGGTCTGGCGTGGGCAGAGGTCCACCCAGCAGGGCAGGCTTTCCCAGGACCAGCAGCGTCCCAAATCCACGCCAGCCCTGCCTGAGTGGGCGTGGCCGGGACGTCCCTGCACCCCTGGCCGGTCACAGGGAGATGTGGCTCAATCGGCTCTTCTTCTGGGGTGCCTAGAAGAGTGGGGAGTGAGCAGGGCCATGAATGGGGGAGGGCCAAGCGAAGACCAGGAGGTGGTCCTGGGGAGGGGCACGGGGCTCTTGAGCCCCTCTGCCTGAAGATATGTGGGAGCTCCTGGTCTGAGAGCAGGGGCGAGCTGCCTTCTCTCTGGCTGTCACCGTCCTCACAGGAAGCTGGCTTAGCCTCTCCATTCCTAAAACAAAGACTAAGAGGGATGATCATGTGACTTGTAGAGGCGGCTGCCCTGTCCCACCCCCAGGGGGCAGGTAGGGCACGTGGGGTTGCACATGAGCAAGCGGTCCTTAAACGGGTCGCAGGGATTAGTGGGGGCTGACATTGCTGACCGCCTCACAGGGGCCCTGTGGGAGACGGGACACTACCTCATATGTCCAGCCCGTTTTTATCCAGCTTCTAACTACCCAGTAGGGTGGTAAACGTTAACAGTGACTGCCTCACTCAGCCCTCCTGTGAATGCACCCCGCCTGGGAGCCCTCAGTCACGGTGAACACCTGCCTCTTCAGAGGAAGGACTGAGCAGCTGAGTGTCTTGTTTCCTGCCAGAATCAGACCCCTCCCCCCGACACCCGCCCCCCTCCCCCAAGTGCTAGCCCTCGGGCGGAGAGCACTGACCTCCTGCTCCTTCCCCAGACATACATGGGCTCCATCCTGGTGGCCGTGAACCCGTTCCAGGTGCTGCCGCTCTACACGCGGGAGCAGGTGCAGCTGTACTACAGCTGCCACATGGGCGAGCTGCCGCCGCATGTCTTCGCCATCGCCAACAGCTGCTACTTCAACATGAAGAGGAACAAGAGGGACCAGTGCTGCATTATCAGGTGGGCGGCCGCCACGTTCCTGGGACAGGCCAGAGGGCCAGGCACTCCTCTGAGCGTCTTGTAAAGGACCCTCTCCCACAGACAGTGTGTGACTTAGGGGCTGTGTTCAGCTGCCGACATCCTCCCCCAAAGCCCATGAGCCCTCAGGCATCTGGCCCCTGCTGCCCCTCTGCCCTAAGTCTTTCCAAGCCTGTCTACCTCCCTCCCTTCCTCCCTCCCTTCCTCCCTCCCTTCCTTCCTTCCTTCCTTCCTTCCTTCCTTCCTTTCTTTCTTTCTTTCTTTCTTTCTTTCTTTCTTTCTTTCTTTCATTTATTGCTAATCCTCACCTCCTTCCATCCTTTCTTCCTCCCGAACCTGCTCTCCCAGGGCATCTCCAGGGCCTAGCGTGTCCCCACCCCCAGCGACTATTTCCTGAGACAGGACAGATGGGATGGCTCTTTGAGAAATGGAATGTAGCATAGGCATTTGGGGCTGTGGTCAAACAGGTGAGGTCTCACTAAAAACAACAGAACTCAGGGCAGGCCTCAGGTGAGCACAGGGCAGCAGCGGTAGCCCTCCAGGCACTGGGCTCAGAAGGGATGTGTCCCTCCAGTCCAGGACCCAACCTGATTCAGAGAGTCGTTGCCCACCTCTGCTTCCTGCACAGGCCCTCTGGCACCCAGGCAAGGGAGGGCAAGGGGACAGCAAGGAGGAGGGGGACTTGGCTCCAAGACACACTGCCTGGTGCTCTAGTTGTTTCACTCACTCACTCACTCACTCATTCCCTCACTCATTCATTCACTCATTCATTCACTACTCATTAGTTCACTCCCTCCCTCATTCATTCACTACTCATTCATGCACTCACTCATCAGAGGTGCTGTTGTGCTCCACCTATGCCTCCCCATCCTAAGGTGGAGAGACCACAGCAAGGAAAGGGTCACCATCCCTGCCTCAAGGAGCTTCCATCTTGGAGAAGGGAGACAGACAGACAGGCAATAAATAAGCAGGTGTTTCCAGAAGGTCATAGGAGCTTTGACGAAAAGCACTGCAGGAAAATAGGAGAGAGAGACGGGACCCAGGCGGGAGGTGGAGGGGCAGACCAGCCAAGCTCTCAGGGGAGGAGAGGTTGGAGCAGCACCAGAACGAATCCGGTAGCACAGGCTCTCATGCTTCATGTTGCCAGCAACTCTGACCGACATGCTATTCCTGTTCTACTGTTGGAAACCTACAACCAGAGAGGGTGAGACCCCTTTCCAGGGACACACAGCCATCAAGCAGGGGACTGAGACCCTGGGCTCTGGAAAGGAAGGGGGGGGGGGAATGTCCACTTCCCCAGTGAGAGGGTTTCTGTGCCAGGAGCTGGTGTTCTTGTTACCAGAAAGGGGCCTGGCCCTGAGCGGTCTGCCTGGGGCCGGCCAGTAGCGTGTGGGCCTAGACTTCATGCGGGAAAGATCTCACAACCGGAGTCCAGTCGCGAGGCAGCATTTAGAAAGCCCGGACAGTGGGACAGGGAGGGCTTAGCATAGAAGAAGCAACACGGACGCCCAGGCTGGGGTGCCCTCGGTCTCCGGGAAGCCTGAGAAGAGGGGGCCTTGGGCAGAAGCTCAGGGATTAGCCTGTGGTGCGCTGCTGTTGTCCGTTGCTGCCCTGGCTGCAAGCCCGTGAGGTCCCCTAGAGTTAGGAGATGTTCACCTGTGGGGAGAGGCGGGAAGGGAAGGTGGGTGCTGTCCCTGGGGAGAGCTCTGGGCCCTTTGTCTTGAAGCTTTTATCTCTCTCTTGCAGGCGGGAATCTTAGGGGAGGTCCCCAGGGAGGGTCTTCATAGAACACTCATCTGTTTCCAGGTGGGCTCCCCAGGGCATGGTCTCCACCGGGGGTCAGTGTAAGGGCAGGGGGTCCTCAGTCAGCACAGCTGGTCCTGGTGTCACTCACCTGGTTTTGCTGTTTTTCTGCATCTGGAACTGAATTACACTGAGGCCTCGAGGTTACCTCTAGGGAGGGGCCTACTGCATCTGCTGTGCATCGCTCTGCCGGTTTGGTTCAGCTCTCTGCCTCAGTTTCCCTGTCCCACTCATGCTGTCTCACTGGTCTGTCTCACTCTGACCTCCCTCAGGCTTTGCCAATCTGCCCCTAGACTGGGGGCAGGGGCCATGGCTGGCTGCAAGGCTCACGGCCTCACCTTCCTCCAGCACTCAGTGCCTGAAAGGAGGGTGGAGTACCGGACTCCCACTCTTTGCATGGACACTCAGCCAGTCAGTCAGACTGCCCCTGCCCCTGCCCCTGTGCCTGCGCCTGCCCCTGCCCCTGCCCCTGCCCCTGCCCCTGCCCCTGCCCCTGCCCCTGCCCCTGCCCCTGCCCCTGCCCCTGCCCCTGCCCCTGCCCCTGCCCCTGCCCCTGCCCCTGCCCCTGCCCCTGCCCCTGCCCCTGCCCCTGCCCCTGCCCCTGCCCCTGCCCCTGCCCCTGCCCCTGCCCCTGCCCCTGCCCCTGCCCCTGCCCCTGCCCCTGCCTCTCCGTCTGATTTGGCCGGAGCTCTGGGAGCTGACTGATTTGACTGGCATAGCAAAACTTTTTTAAAAATTAATATTTTCAAGTGAAACAATATTTGTCTGGGATTCGCTTCAAAATAGTACAAGAGGGGAAACAAAATTGGCCAGAGGCTGAAGCTGAAAACGGGATTGTGGGCGTTTATCGTGCAAACTGCACCGTGCAGGGGCCCGTGGGGTCACGAGACAGGGCAGGCCTGACTGGCCGCTGCCGGCGCTGTGGCCGCAGTCAGCAGACATCGCACCCCTCTGCTCCATTTGTAATGCCTGACAGTGTCCACAGTAAAGAATAATGGACACAAAAGTAACATCCCAGCCTTGGCCGGAGCAGTAATATTAATGGCTACAAATTTGAGTGTTTGCTATGTGCCAGACACAGTATGTTTTCTGACTTAATTAAATGTCCTAAGTAATTTTAAAAACTAATTTTCATTTCTCACCACCATGAAATTAATATATATTCACTATGAACATTTTAGAAAAATTCAGGAAAATATTCTCAGGAAAAAAATTGCTGTGCCCGTGACTCTGGAACCAAATCGGGCCTGCCCGCAGGGCTCGCGGGGAGAGGGTGAGAGACCGCACCCCGTAACCCCGCAGCATGGACGTCTGCACCCAGGGCGAGGGCCTGGGGGGCTCTGTTCAGACTGCCCAGGAAGCAGGCCTGGGCGTGGCCAGAGAGTTGAGGGGCGGAAAATCTCCTTTTCTATCGACTAACCCCCTCTACGTCTGCAGTGGCGAGTCCGGGGCCGGGAAGACGGAGACCACCAAGCTCGTCCTGCAGTTCCTGGCCACGGTCAGCGGCCAGCACTCCTGGATCGAGCAGCAGGTGCTGGAGGCCAACCCCATCCTGGAGGGTGAGCAGGCGCCCCGCAGGCCCCCGCCCGGCCTCCCTGCAGGAGGAGCCTTTGCTTTGACCAGGGGCCCCGGGGGAGGGGGGAGGGGGCACCCCCTTCCAGACTTCTGAGGACTCCTCAGGACACGAGGGATTGGGGCGGGAGCGAGTGTGGGGCCTCGAGGGAGCACGAAGGGGAGAGATGACGACCGTAGAAGCTTCTACTCAGTGTATTTTCCTCAGGATCGAATAAGTCTTTCAAAAGGGGTCCAAGATGAAATGAACTTGGCCATGCTGGGTATCGAGTTCGGGTCCTCGAAAGCAGTCGCCAGCCCGGCTGGGCCTGTGGAGGTTTAGTGAGGGAGGAAGCAGGGTGCCCCCGGCAAGCCTCCGGCCGGGGTGCCGCAGGACCCTTGGGTGAGCAGAAGGCCGTGCAGGCCTGAGGGCGGCCAACCCCACGGAGCTCTGGGTCAGTGCCAGAGCAGGAGTCCTGCCCGGGGCGCGCCAGGCCCCAC